AAATCATACAATATTATCATTTGAATTAAGTTTGTGGAAACTGGTAGATTTATCTTCTTTTTTGATTGTTGCAAGAATAAAGCTAAGTCTACTCATCTTCCTAAAAGAAGATAAATATAAGACACTTTAAAAATTAAAGTGATCTTGGGTAAAAGGGGAGAAGCTGGTCTCTGTTCCAAAGGGCAGAGGTGACAAGAAGGAGTTGCAGACAAGTTGATTCAGGTGCAGAGGGACACACAGACATGTCAAGTGCTCTGGTCTGCAGCCTTTATGAGGACTAGGGAGAATGAGAGTTTTGAGCCAGGGTGCAAGCTACAGGAGATGGGGATTTTGAATAAGATACTATCTCCTGAAGATTTGATTGTTATGGAGATCAGGAAAAAAAAAATACCTCAACTTTTGGTTTGGGTCATTACATTACATTTAGCCTACCTGGCAAAACCAGGCTAATTTCTGTAATTGTCATTGGATGAGAGAAGGGGAAAAGTCTTCTTACCACTATGACTGAGGAACATCTACACAGCTTGATTTAGCTTGAAGGGCAGATTACTTTCCTTGGGACAACCATGCTGGGGTGAGGGTGATGGGGGAAGAGAGGGAAGAACAGTTTGCAAAAAGACTTTACAAAGCATTTTTGTGCCAAAATTCCTGTATTCTCTAAATTTGGACCTGCTCTTGAGGCAAGGTTGAGTCTGACATTTTTAAAAAGTCTCAGTGTTCTGAAGATGCAGAAACATCTCACTTTGTTGCTTTAGAAATGAAACATTTCCACTGTCTCTCCCTTTCAGGCTTGTTCTCCTGCAAGTCACAGGCTGTGCACAGCACCACATAGCTGCTCTGTACCCCTCACACCCTTCTTCTCCAGCCAGAAGCATCTTCTGTGCACTATCCTCCCCCTGGGCAGAGACCTGGGTGCTCTAATACTGGAGGATGAATCAACCTACAAGTGTTGGACCACTGCAGAAGTTCCTCTCCAGGCTCCCCCTTTCCTCACTCATGAGCACTTCCCCAATAACAGCAGGTTGCTGATAAGTGGTGCCTGGGGCACCTCCACTCATTGACACTGCTCATGGCAACAACACAGCAAAAAAACACCAAATATAGAGCAGTGCCTCAAAATCTCAGCCAAGGAATATATTGTGCCCCTTTCCTTTTAATTAACACTGAAATTCCAGGCCTCTTTTCGGGCTATAAAGCAAGCCCCCGCACACTCTCAAACTGGGGGGCAAAAAAAAAAAGGACATTTGGATAGAAGAGCAGAGTGCAGATCATGGCACTTCCCAATTAGCAGGTTTCGGTCGTCTTCAGAAAGTCGCATGCCCTTGCTCAGCCGCGTCTGGGGACTAGAGGGGGCAGGAAGGTTTTACATTTCACCGCTGAGACTCCCGGAGGCTTTGCCAAGTACTTAGTAAGTTATTTAGAAGGAAAACAAGAACCCCACCTGGGCGCCTCTTTTGTTTAGGTCCTGCCCAGGCTCTGGCACCTGAGCTGGCAGCTGCATTTCTCTTTAATGGCGTGAGGGAGAAGGGACATTGATGCTGCCATCCCTGCTGGCATATCCTGTTTCAGCAAACGCACGTCTTGTAACTAGTCTGAGCTAGTCAGAGCTGTGCTTTCCAAGGGAAAGAAAAACATTTGAACTTTGTCTTCAAAAAACCACTGGAAAGTGGCCATTGCCTAGAACCATTGAGGCTGCTCACAGCAAGATCTCTCAGAGGAAAACATCCAGGAAATTGGAAGCAAGGAGTTTGCTCACAACTTGCAGTTTTGGAGACAAGGTTTCTGAAACATGTGGGCCACCTGTCCTGCTCAAAACCCATTCGCAGCCTGACACCTCCTTGGCTGGGACTATGTCTCTGTCCCCAGCTCTACACTCAAGCAGTGGGGTACAAGGGTGCAAGACCTGGATCCTGGAGAAGAAGACCCTCCATGTCAGCCCTGGGGTGCACAGGATCTTGCAGGGCTGAGGACAGCCAAGCCAAGGCTCTTGCTTGAGTGCTGATACCCAGGGGAGGTGACCAAGGCAGGGGAAGGTTTGTGGAGCATGTCTAGCTCCTTGTCACCACGTCGTCACACGAGGCAAGACAGGACCAGCTCATGACTCAGGCTGTTCCTGCTTTCTGAATGTGTCAGCTGCACATCTTCAGCTTGCCACTCTAATCTCGTTCCACCATACAGAGGGACAGTTATAAAGATGAAAAGGAGGATGGAAACTCTTACTATATCAAAGTGGATCTATTGTTCTCATATTTTGTGCAATTCTATTGTGTTCTCCTGTGCTTGCTCTCTACTTTTAAAACTAAGCTAGGAAAAACAAATTACTCGCAGCCTGAGAGTAAAAAAATAATTTTCTTTCATACTGGCATCCTAACTTCATCTGGTAATGAGACCCAAGTAATTTCTTTGATTTTCAGCTGTAGCAAGTAGTGAAACGCTGAAATCTTTCTTCCCCAATTAACAGTATTAGGCTCCTAGGGAGTGTGGACACTGCCACTGAAGTAATATCCTGTTTTGGGGAACATTGTCAGAAATTCCCAGGTAATCCTGAGCTCACCTGCCTCCTTGCTCTCTCCCCAGGTGCCATCTCACTCAACAATTTTTAGGCCACTAACACTGCAGGAGAACATAAAGCTGGTTTGAACCTCATTAGATCTTGGGAAGAACAAGTTTCTTTTAGATTTGTGTTCTTGTTTTGCAAGATTTCAAATCCTTAAGGATCTGAGTTCCAAGGCTTTCCTCATAACTAGGAGAGGATTTTTTTTTTCTCTCTCTCTAACATATTTTTCAGCGGGTAGCTGAGATTTTCATACCTTCACATGATTTCAGGAGCCAAGCCTGGCAGAAGATTTGCAAATATTGACAAGAGCCATGGTAAAAATGCACAAGTGAGCGGCTCTGTTAGCTCTTTGTCCCCGATGCTGCAGGCTGAGCCTCTAAGAGCAGCTCTGTGCTGCTCTCCCTCTGGGAGCCAGGCTGGCACTGGAGGCTCTACCTTTTTTTGCCCCATTTCTGTACTGCTTGGCCAATTCCTGAAATGCTCTGTGGTTAACACTTTCCCCTGCTCTGAATGTTCCCTGTATGAAGCAGGGCCACTGATCACAGCCATCCTCAAAAATAGCCCTGGCGAGCAGGGATAGGAAGAGTTTCTTGCACGAGGCTGCTGAAGACTCCTCAGGGAACCCTTCGAGGGCAGCCTGGCTGCCGGCTGAGGAGTCGCAGCTCCCTCAGTGTTTCCACCTCTAACTTTGGTCAATGTGAGTCTTTCTATCAGCTTCAACGGGCTTTTGATCAGCCTGTTAGATTCCTGGTCAAATATCAGTGTCTCTCCATACAAGTATATCTACATAAAGGCTGCAGCTGCACACAGATTGCGTTAGGAGTCCACACCAATTTTAATTACATAAACTCCGTGTCTTCTCCAACAAGATTTCAAGTAACATGTTGAAGCTAGAAAGGAGCAAACTATGAAAGGTTTGGTTGCAAAGCTGTCTAACACCTCCAAGAGCTGACACTTTGACTTTGCAGTGAATATCTACCCTGCAGAAGGGGAGCCAGACGCTCTCCAGCCATGTCTAGGACAGGTTTCTTTTTTGCACACAGAAGGCTATAGTCAGAAGCAGGTAAGTTTTTAGCAGAGAAGGGGAAGTTGCATAACTGATACTTACTATGACAATAGTGGATAGCTATGTTATAGAAAGAACAATCTAGATCCTTTGCTGATAAACATTTTGAAAAACAGCCAGTAATTATGGTGTCCATTTGGAAATAAGTGACCAGCTTCTAAAGGATGATGAATAGCTCTTCTCCAACAACAAGATTCCTACTCAGTTTCAGGGGATAGACATTAAAAAAAAAAAAAGGCACCCCTAAAAATACCAATTGCTCAGCTGCAGGCTGCCATAAACATATTCTTTTTCGGCTCTGAAGCAACTTTTTGTGGTGAAGCTGTGACAAAAAAAAAAAAATCTCTTTCCAAATGTTATACATATCATTTTTGCTGGTAGTCATGAACATGCTGCTCCCAACGTCTGTGCAGACTCCAGTAAAGGGTTACAAAGTTAACCCTGAGCCTGTGACAATTGCACGTCTTCTAAAAACAGAAGTCAGTTACACAAAGCTTGTATATAAACCTACTATTTGGGTATTAAATAAGCTTTCAGAAATAGTTTAAGTAAATTAGTTCCTGACATGCTGCACTTCTTGAGCTTTCCATTTGTGGCCTTTCATTCATAAGCGATCATCCACAGAGTGAAAAGAAGCACACTTCACCCTAATTAGGGAGGAGCTAATTATCCCCCATCAATTAGATCCTACAACACTTATCTGTAAACAGTTGCTGGAAAGGTACATAACAGATTAGTGACTGAAGACCTAATTAATAAGGAATAATGAGCTCCTTCCTGCATGAGATGAAGAAAAAGCCCAGAGCCATAAAACTGACCATAAATGTGGCAGGAGTCATTTCATACATACTAGTTTTCTAATTTTTATATTTAATTTGCAGGGTTTGCTTTACTGACTGACTTGGTCTGTAATATCATGCCACTCTCCATCCTGCTCACTTGATTGTGCCTTGTTGGTGAGTTGACAGAGAAACACAAAACCTCTCCTGAGGGGAGAAGAAATTTTGAATGCTTTATGGTGAGTAGCAACCACAGGAAAAAAAAACGCAGATACCACAAGGGACTGTCTCTTCTAAGTCTACTTTGCTACTAATTCAGCGGATTTCTCCCCAGCCTGTCTTCAGGACACAGAGACTTCAGCTGACCTTCACTGCATATGTAAACCCTTTCATACACAGTAAGATCTATTTGCGGTGTGTTTCCTCCTCAAGATTTCTTCCTCTGGTTGGGTGTTTCTGAGCCTTACCTTGCCTTCTAAGCCTTGTCTCACCCTGTTCTCATTGCCATCTTTTGTCCTTATCTTTCTTAAAGCACACGATGGAGAAGAATACTTCTCTCCCATGTCTTATCAGTCTGAGAAGTGCCCCTTTTAGGACAGAAACCATGTTTCTGATTTAACCTGAGGCCAGAGCAATGAGAGCCTCACAGTGCCTGAAGTCATATCATTCTTTCAAGGTCATATCATTCTTTTCAGTTTATTGTGCTATTTGTTCAAATATACAGTGAATTAATAATGTAACTTGAGATATGGGTGGAGAAAATCATTCGAAATATCCCAATTAGGGGATACTTCCAGAATGATACATCAGAAAGAAACAGAGGTCACTCCGAATACTTCTACTTCCAGAACCAACCAGTGGTGATTTTACCTGGATCACAATTGCTAGCTACTCACAAGACAGTTCCCAGATTATTACTGAAGACATTTATATGCATTCACTGATTTACTCTTTACCATTTGAATGGCCATCCCATCAGATAAGGGAAATTAACTGCTTCAGTATGATTCGTTTGTGATAGGCCCACCTTGGCTGTTTTACTGTTTGTGGGGGTTTGTTTGCTTACTCTTTTTAAATCTTCTTGGTATGTACAAGATCTGTTAAATAATTTGTTCAGCGTCTTTCCAGGCATTGATATTAGGCAAAGTGGTTAAACTTTTCCGCAGTCTTCTTTCTCCACTCTTTCAGAGATAGGAATCAAGTTAATTTATCATCAGACTTCTGAGACTACTGAAGACAATTTCTTCTTCTTACTGTACATCTTTTGTTGCTTTTACTTCATTTTGACCAGATAGCTACTCTTAATAGATGAAGCAGGAAAGTGTTGATTTTTTCAGCCCTCATACATCACCTGCTGTTTGTATTTTTTCATTGTTATACATGTATACTTTATTGAGTGTATCCATAGAAAAGTTATATCCTTGGCCTCTTCTAATTGGTTTTGCATGTTATTTTTTTCTCATTGTACCCCAGCATACTTTTGTTGTAGTCACTGTCAGTAATGTGTATCACATAATTCCCTTTGATTTCTAGGTCTTGGCTCCTGATGCAGCTACATTCTGCTCTCCTGCTCAGTTTCCTATCTTATTTCACATCAGGATAGTTTACCACTCTGCTTTTGTTAACGGCAGTTTCAATAACAGACAGTTCATTTATCTTCAGGATTATCTTCCCAGAAGACTCACATTTACCTGCTTCCCAAGCTTGTTGGTGTCTGCTTTTTGAAGTTCATTACCCTTTTTCTGCTGCCTTCACTGCTTTCTTTTCTCAGAACAGCAATTCTATTGTTCCATGGTTGTTTTCATTCAAAATACCTTCTACATTCAGTTTATCTCCATCCTTTCCTCTTTTGCAGAGACAAATCTTGACATAGATATGGCTCTGGGATTATTAAAATTTTAATTTCTATGCTTGAAGAAGCAGGGAAGATGAGCAGACATGCAAAAGCACAGAAGGATACTCATGTTTTGGCTACCCTCTGTCAAGTAGAAGTACTTGTCAGTTTGTGGTAAGGGGAAACCCAAATCCTGCATTCTTTTAACAATTCTTAAGTTTATCTGTTATTCGGTTAAAACTACCTGGAAACACCTATTTTACGTATCAATACATTTCATCAATTGATAATCATACAAAGTTTTTCTTCATCCACATCAAACAAAATTCTACCCTCTTTAAATAAAATCGTTAAATATCCGGAAAGTAAATTATTCTTGAAAATCCATTGGCTGAGCCTGCACAGAAGGAAAATGGAGGAACATTTCAGAAGTTTATCGTTGAGAAAGATAACAAAACTTTCCAAATTTCAAAGCCAGGAAAATACCCTGTTAGTAAGTAGCCCTCTTCCATTAGTGAAGATCAGTGAATGATCACAAGAGTACAGATGAACACACAGTTTGCCTGGGCCGAGACTATTTAGAGCTTTACACAGTGCTAATTGTGTATGGCCCAGGGTGCCAGAATGCAAAGACACATTCTGGCCAGGAGGAGGGAGGAAATGGAAAGACTTCAGCACAGCTGCTAGGCAAAACAGGTTCCAGTGAGCAATTCCAGTGCATTATTCCAGTGTATACAGTCATTATACACACAAGTATAGTTCCTGAGCATTGTGTAACTGTGTGTGTGCACCTACTGCCCCTGTGTGCATCCCAGAAGGGCCAGAATGGAGGGATCAATAATAATTTAATACATACAGAAGTGAGGTATATTGAAGCTTCCAAGCATTTTTTGGAGAAAGGAATGTATGAAAGAGCACTGTTCATTTTCTGGAGACTCTGAAAGGATCAATTTTAGAAAGAAACAGAGGAAATGTAAAGAAAAATCTCTGCTTCTGAACATAGGGATTTCTTCCTTTTGCTGAATATGAGTAAGGCCTGAGCTGGAGTATCATCTCCAGTTTTGCCCATTATACCTTAAGGAAGGTGACGACTAATAGGTAAGTGTTTTTCATAGAACTACAGGAACTATCAGAGGTCTAGAAGGCATTGCTTGTGAGAAGGAAAAAAAAAGAGACTAAATAATGGCTGGTTTTGGAGGAGAGAAAAGAAGATTGAAAGCAGTGAAAACAGTTTTCAAAAACTAGATTTTTATCAAAGCAAAAATCAGTTTTTAATGTCCAGGAAAAGGAATAGTCATACTATTCCTTTCATGTCAGTGAGAAAAATTCAGGTTAAACAGTAGGTGTGGGCTTAGTCTGATAAAAACACAGGTGTCTAAACTGTAAGCATTTTCAGCTGAGCAAGTCACTATCAGTACAGTCAGTGAAGATTAGGGTGAAGATTCATTTTATGCTTCATAGATGACTACAGATGAATTTCACACTCAGCTCCACTGAATGCAGAAACTAGGTCTCCACTGCCGCTGTGGAAGCTGCACAACTCATTCAGAGGAGCAAGTGAGATATTGGCCAAGACGAATCCCACCACAGGAACATCCCAATGAGGGCAGCTGGCACAGGATCAGGCAAAGCTGGCCTAGGCAAAGCAGGGGGATCTTCACTCCCCTTAGGAGGGATTATACAAGCCTCTGGCAGGAACAGCTTTGGAGAAGCTGACCCTTCTTCGGGGCAAGCAGAGAACAGGAGGCAACCTCATGAGGTCTGTTCCAGGCCTCGTTGTCTGCATCGCAACCAAATATTCAGGGATGGTCATTTAAGATGGAAGATTTATTTTCTCTGCTCAGTGCTCTGCAGCTACTCTGCTCCTTTGAAAAGCTGCTCACATTCATTCATTGTCAGTGACTACCACAGTGGAATTGCTTTTCTACAGATTCAGGGACCCATACAAAATATGGCCAGCTTTGCCAAGAATATAATGACCTGTATTTGTCACTTTCAGCGCAGCAAGCTTCCCAAACTTCATTTCAAGCAAGCAGCCACTTACCATGCCAGCAGCAGTAGCAACATGTCTGTTAGAGCTGAAATAAAACTTCTGACTTGCCTCCCTTGCATTACAGACCCAGGACAGGTAGCCCAAAAGTTCTGGTCAGAATATATGGCTGGCAGGCAGCAGCACTGCCAAAGAGTGTTGAGAGACGTCCGCATTAACTTACAGACCTCTCAAGCTGTATTTTAGGAATACAGCCTCAGTCTGCAGCGTCTGATACAAGCTGTGCATCTCTGGTACATGCAAAATAGAAATGCTGTTTTCAGAAAAAGTCTTTGTGGATGGTCTCCTAAGGGAGCAAAATGTATGTGAAGGAAAAGGAGACACAGTATTATGGCTCAGTCTAAGCACACCTGATGTGAATATGAGATGATAGAAGGCAAGGGCAAAGGCAAGAAGATACTGTATCACTACAGCAGAAAAAGCAGCAGATCAGTCATGACATTTGTTCATGTCAACCCTAGCATGCACCAAGAAGTGATGAAGAGAAAACAGCAAAAAGGATTCCCAAAGGGAGAAAAAACAGAAGTTTGGGTCCATGGAGGAACCTTCATTCTAGGTAGCAGAGACCAACACTGCAGCAAGGCACCCAGAACTTCTTGAGACTGTCTATGACTGTGAATCAGCAAAGGTGTTATGGAGTTCAAAATACTTTCCACACCAAATGAATACCCATGTGTGTCAATGTGAGAATGACATTTTGAGGCATCCCAATAATAAAATGAGTAAACATAAAGTGATTATGAATATCTATAAATATAATATTTATAAACATCTATACATTTAATATAAATATATGTATTATTTAGCTATATGATAGAAGATAGAAGACATGTTTTAGGGCAGAATGTGGAGAATTCAGTAACTACCGCCAACGGGGTTAGGATCACTGCTTTAGGAATTTGTCTCCCTTTCCTTGCCACAAGAACTACTGGATCAAAGACAAACTTGATGGCAAACAACCATTACCTTCTACCTTGAGGACACTGGAAGAAAGGGAGGATTACAAGGGCTGCATCATTCACACATGCATGAAACTGAGCGTTACTTCAGACCTGTGAAGTGAAGAAGTCATAAATCCTCGATGAAATGTTATTGTCAATATAGGAATTCTGACATTTAAGAGGACCACGGTCTAGCAGACAGAGAGAAGCTGGGCTTTGCGTTGTGTGAATGCTCTGGCACGAATTAAATTCACCACATCTACAACAAGCAGTCAGGTCTATTCTTTCTGCATCTATCCACCACTAGAGGTCATAGCGCACCGATCCCTCTAGAGAAGGTCACCCTCAGTCCACCTCACTCCTCCAGCTACCACACATCAAAAAAATTGCACACTTTTAAATCAAGCTTTTTATTTTTCCAACACAAATTATAATAAATGATAGGCAGAAACTTTCAGCGTGTGAGCTGCCTCTCTTAGCATCAACACTCAGCATGGAAGGTTTAGGTTTTACACAACGAAGATGCTCCCTTGAACGATCTAGCTTGGGTTTCTTAGCCAGTCTGTATTTTCTGCCACCTGCTCAGGACAAAGCTAAGGGAATGTAGTATTTAACTCAGCCACTTAATTAGAGTAATTTCAGGGGATTATAGGTTACCCGTGTACTTACATGTGCACACACATACTCCAAAGCATGCACACAGAGTTTTCTGCATGTCATTCAAGTAATGTAGAGCATTTTCCTGACTGGTTTTTTGCATGGGGAATTCTGAAGGTTTTATTTCG